GACGAAGCGGTCGTGAACCAGGCGGCGGAAGCGCCGCATGCAGGCGAGCCAGGCATCCAGGCCAAGCCAGGTCGCCGCCTGCTTTCCAGGTTCCAGGTGGAACCTCCGCGTGCCCCGGCTGGCGGCGCGAAGCGCGAGCACGTCCGACCCCATCTGCAAGCACGGGTGCTCGGGGGACTCTGCAGCGATCATGCGGCTCGCGATCATGTCCGCCTGCCGCGTCCGAATGTCGGGGCGAAGGCTGAGCTTCACGTCGAGGAGCCAATCCCGCGAGTACAAGTACTCCAGCAGGATGGGGTTCTCGAAGAACATGGTGACGACCGAAGGAAGCGGAGCGAGCGGAGCGAGCGGATGAGCAAAGAGGCTGCGCCGAGAACCTGTGGTGCACCTGTGGTGCACCTGTGGTGCACCTGTGGTGCACCTGTGGTGCACCTGTGGTGCACCTATAGCGGTCCTGGCTTTTTCCCCTCAGTAGGCGCGGGCCACGGCCCTCAGCTCCTCCAGGTAGTCGGCCCTCAGGCAGACGCTCGGCAGCGCAGGGGCCGGCGCCGGCAGGTCGTAGTACAAGTAGAGGATCTCCAGGTCGCCGGCCGGCGGCGGCTCCGCCAGCGCCTCCAGCAGCCGCCCGTGGCGCTCCACCACGCGCAGCCCGCAGTCCGGGTTGTACCTCAGAAACCGCAGCTTGCCGGGGGGCCGGCTTTTCGAGCGGAAGATCTCGACCATGCGGCGGCACTCGTCCGCCGGCTCCCTGGAGGCGTGCTGTCCCTCATCGACCTCCAGGGCGATCAGCCCCCAGTCGCGCTCTACAGCGAAGTCCAGCAGCGCGTAGCCGCCGTGGCTGGAGCCATCCGTGAAATCTACGCGAAGCTGCGCACGGAAGGGCAGCTCCTCCCGGCGCAGCAGACGTTCCACGCACGCCTCCCGGCCGCTGCGGTACACGAAACCGCGGCGCTCGTGGATGGCAGCGTGGGCGCGGAGGTCCGCGGCTTTGTGGAAGCTCCGGCCGCAGCCGTGCGGCCGGACGTTTTCGTGGGCGAGCCTAACGTGCTCTCGGAGCCCCGAGGCGAAGCCGAAGCGCTTCTGGCAGTGGGGGCACGCGTGCTCCCGGCGGCCCTCGTGCACGGCAGCAATGTGATCCCGGAGCCGGGACGCCTGGGGGAAGCGCTTCCCGCAGCGCGGGCACTCCATGTCTCAGCCGAGGCTGCGGTGTTGCAATCCTTGCTGCTTGCTTAAACCTTTTCCACCATTTACCAAAGTCGTTGGCTGGGACTTCTGTTCCGGGCCGTGTGGAAAAAAACAAGGGTTCAAAAGGCTTTGGTTTCGGCTTTGGTTTTGGAGTGTGTGCTGAAAACAAGCAAAGCCTCTGTAGTTCAAAAACAGGCTTTGATTTAAATTTGTTTGCCGAGAAAACCCAAAAACTGGGATTCTAGAAAGGGCTTTGGTTCCGGGGCATGTGCCGAAAAAATCCGCTTTTTTTACTTGGACTTAAAACAAGCTTTGGTTTAAAGGTGTGTGCCGAAAAGAGACAAACATTTGGATTCACAACCGGGCTGTCAGCAACGCACTGTGATCCAGAAACCAGGTTTTCAAAAAGCGAATGACGCTAAAGCCTGGAACTACTAGTAGACTGGAACCGGGGGGGTAGGAAAGCAATGTTCGGTTTCGAGTTCCTGGTGGCGGCCCACCAAAACAGTATGTGCTGGTTTCTGTTCAGAACCCAAACACATTCTACAGAAACCCCTAAAACCCTAAAACCTCCCTAAAGCCCTAAAACCCTAAAGCCCGAAAAGCCCTAAACCCAAAAACATTAACCCTGAACCCTAAATCGTGGTAGCCTGTTGCTCCAGTTCTTAGACCCTACACTTTTGAAGCTAAGCTTAAACAAACCCACAACCCCGCTAAAGTTGGACCCTTCAACTCCACACCCCCCTTCAGCACCTCGAGAAAGCTGGCTCTACGAGCTCCTGGATTGGAGATGAGGCCGGCAGGACTCTGAGGGGTTTCGGGTTCAGGTTCTTGCAACATGCCCGCTGAAAGAGCGGTGACGCTGAGAGAGCGTGCACACCACACCCCAGTTGCTGAGAGAGCGGCTGTGATGCGCTGCAAGAGCGCACGGGATGTGTAGAGGCTTCATGCTGAACCAACAAACACGTCAGTGCCAGACTGCTGAGGAGCTGACCCATGATGTCGACACCCAGCAGTTGCCTCAGCGGGTCCGAGTGTGAACTGAAGACACATACATGTATCGGATGACATGCAGACCATGTGCCAGAGAACATGCCGCGATGCCGCGCACGAGTGCATGCATAACACAGGCAACTGCATTGTTTTGCTGGCCAGCATTCCGAGTGGGCCGAGTGGGCTCGTAGGATTTGCCACGAGGACGGAGTCATGAACACGCCGAAACCTCGCAGAGACAGACCCAAGGCAACATGTAGTCAAGGGTGTTAGTCTTGCTGTCCCGCCTTGAAGTCCTAAGCTTTGTCCTTCTTGGCTTTTTTGCTCTTCTTGTCGTCTTTACTCTGCGTGGCCTGCGCACACTTTGAGTATGTGCCACCGGGCCAAAAGCATAGCAGAGGCCAAAGGCCTCCTTGCGTGTCTGCACGTCCGAGGTCTTGGTCGCGCTCTTCGACTGGACTTTGTCCTGACAGGCGGGTGGAGCTCATGGGACACGTAATCGTGAAAGTTTACCCACATGCAGTCCTTGACTGTACCAGAGGGGCATTCGCGGAGGGGCTCGGATGCCTCCAAGTTCTGTACAAGATAAGGTCAGGAGACATGGTGAATGAACGGAGGGTCGGAGTGCCTTAGGGTGCGAGGCTGTTTCGCTGGATCTCGAACTGACATGTGGTGCAAGTAACAACAGTCGTAGTCAGGCAGGCCTTCTTCTCGTCTCCCGGCTCCTTGCGCTTGTTCTTCTGCTGCACCTGCTGGGGGTCGTCCTTGTTCTTCTGCTGCACCTGCTGGGGGTCGTCCTTGTTGCCGGTCTGCTGCTCATCCAACTGCTTCCGTAGCTTGGCCACCTGGTCTTTTTGGAGGCTCAACTGCTCCTTCAGGTTCGAGATCTCCTTGAATTGCGCATTAAACTCTTGCCTCCAGTGTACCGCCTGTACTCGCTGACCTTCCTTCTCCCCTTCTAGGCGACCGACCCGTGCATCAGAGAGCACTCGCTCATCGGCCAGCTGCTGCTTGACGCATTGCTCTGCCCTTACAGCATCGTCTCTTTCTCGCTCCAACCGGTCCGCTTTGCGGATCAACTCAGCATTCAGGGTCAGAGCATCCTCCAGCTGCCGGGTGAGAGATCGCCTCTCGACCCTATTCTGGTGCCCATCTCCACGCGAGTCGGGTGCACCTCGGCGGCCTTGTCCTCTGGCCTTTGGTGTAGCTTCGCCCGCTGGTGTCATAGGTTTCTGTGGCGGCGTCATGCGTTGGGCTTGCTGTGGAGGCATCATAGGTTGCTGGGCTTGCTGCGGCGGCATCCGGGGTTGCTGGGCTTGCTGCGGCAGCATCATAGGTTGCTGGACTCGCTGTGGCGTCATCGTAGGTTGCTGGGCTTGCTGTGGAGGCATCATAGGTTGTTGGGCTTGCTGCGGCGGCATCATAGGTTGCTGGACTCGCTGTGGCGGCATCATAGGTTGCTGGGCTTGCTGTGGAGGCATCATAGGTTGCTGCGCTCGCTGTGGCGGCATCATAGGTTGCTGGGCTTGCTGTGGAGGCATCATAGGATGCTGCGCTGGCTGCTGCGGCATCATAGGTTGCTGGGCTTGCTGTGGAGGCATCATAGGTTGCTGCGCTGGCTGCTGCGGCATCATAGTCTGGGCTGGCTGCTGTGGCATCATTCGTTGCTGGGCTTGCTGTGGTGGCGTCACTTGTTGATGGGCTGGCTGCTGTGGTGGAAGCACTGGTTGCTCGGTGGCGGGTTGTGACGGCATCGGTTGCTTTGTTTGCTCGTCTTCGATCTGCTGCCACCAGTCCTTGAATTCCGCCACCTTCCAGCCTTGTTCTCTCCGATACCCGGCCCACTCCTTCTTAGACCATCCTCCATAGGAGTCCATTGTCTTGCTAAGGCTTCCGTGGCAGTAGCTGGATTAAAAGAAGACAGGTCTTAGGGAGTTCAGGATTGTAATGTTTTTGCAGTTCATATTTTTTCGAGCTTCTGGAGTTTATGGGGTTCTAGGCCCTTGAACAGACATGCAGCCGGGTGTGACAGACAAGCCAAATTTGTCGACAGAAACGCACAGGCTGGCAGCGACGCGACGTGTCAGCCCTAGACATGGATGCTCGGGGTTTGGCTATGCGGCCTCGTGGCACTGCGAATTCGATCTCTCTCTCTCTCTCTCTCTCTCTCTCTCTCTCTCTCTCTCTCTCTCTCTCTCTCTCTCTCTCTCTCTCTCTCTCTCTCTCTCTCTCTTCTAAAGTCTCAGCCGCAGACTTTTATAGTTATTTGTCAATCATCCAGAAATCTTAGAAATCTAAGCCCCGAGCAATGACCCGTCAATACACTTCGAAGAAGCTGCAGCCGCAAGACAACAGCCAGCATTCATAATATATTTGCCAACCCTATACGCCCCGTAACTATCCGCCCCAAACCAAACCCGGTGTCTCAGGCTTCGGGCGGTCTTGCTTGGCCCCTGTGCGGCTGCCGCACTGCACACCTGGTGCAGGTGGGATGTTAGGGTTTCACTGCCAGGCGTTTCGGTTGTCTTTTGCTAGAACGAAGTGGGACTGGACTTAAGAAGCGGGAGGCTCCAAACCCTGCCGCTGGTTGCAAATGTCTCTAGGACCCTAGGATGCACGGGTACAGAGGTTATGGAGGGGAATGGGAAGAACACGCTTCGGGTTAAGGGTTTACCAACACCAACCAGACTTCAGAAGTGGTCGGTTCCGAAACCGCCGGGGTTTCGGAAGTGGCCCGGGCAGTACTTGAAGAGCCTCTCAGTGAGCCCCACTATCCAGACTCCGCCAGCTATATTGCTTGTGAAGTCTGGTAGCTTCTGGTCATGCCGAAACACCGCGTTGCCTTGCAGCCTGCCAGCGGTCCACAGAGAGGACGAGGGTCTCGCGTGAAGATCTTGTGCTCCTACAAGCATTGCACAGCCCTGCGCACCGACTGCAAGAACAAGCCACACACAGCTGCAATTGATGACATTGACGTCACGAAGACAAGAGCACTACACCCCCAAGCTCGTGTGGTGCGTTTCTGCAGTCAAGCGCACAGGGACAAGTGTCTGGCAAAGAAATCCAACAAGCGCGGTGGACGCGAAGCTCTCTCAGCTCTGCAGGTGGCCCACCTCTTCAAGGTGATGGCGGCTCGTTCCTCCTGGGCGGCGGTGATGTTCCTTGTGAGTATTATCACAGGAGAACGAGCAGAAGCCGTATCACGAGTACAGGACTCGTGGTTTCGTGGACTCGATCCGGACAGCGGGGAGCTACCTAGTCTCCAGGTGCCCTTCGTCAATAAGAAGACTCGACAGCACGATGTTCCACTGAACAAGGACTTTGCCCGCTTGCTGTGGTCCTGGCTGCATGCTGAGCCGCTGCGTGGCCTGGGAATTGACAATCAGTGGCCATTTCGTGGCCAAGTACTGCACTTGAAGCCTTCCCGTGGCCGTGGCAGGAGGACAAGTCACTACCTCTTTCCTGGTCGACAGCTCGGTGGCAAGAACATCCGAAACTACAGGAGACCTGTAACTACACGAGCGTACTACGGTGCTTTCATTCAAGCCCAAGAAGACCTGAAGAAGGAACTCCAAGGGGCTCACCAGCAGGGCAAGCGGCACATCTTCGAGGACATCAACCTCGCCAAGGTGACTACGCACAGCGGGAAGAAAAGCTCAGTGACCCTGCTAAGTGAGGTCACGTCGACTAGCATCATAGCCGAAATCACAGCGACATCTCCGAGAATCTTGGAGCAGATCTACATCTGTTCGACGAAAGCAAAACAAAGAGAAGCTGTGCAGCAAGCTTTCCAGGGGGTTGTTTCAGAGATTAGCGAAAGCAACATCATCTCCGAAGCTCCAGTTCCTACTGCATGCTGTGTCCGCTGCGGACGTTCTCGAGACGTTGCTGACTGGAAATTCTGCCCTCGATGCGGTACTGAGTTTGTGGCTCCCTGAAAGTAAGAACCGCCGCCGTGCCCGGGCGAAAGAGCCTGGCAAAGCGCGGAGCGGTTGCAGACCAGCAGTGGCTGCACGTCAATCTAAGGTTGGCAGCAGTTGTTTTCACCTAGCATGTGAAGTCTCTCCGCTTTACTTCGCGGTATCATCGAAAGGGCGGCCCAGCCAGCAACGGTCAACTGAACAAGCCTAGTAAGCGCCGCAGAAAGTCGCACTGATGCGATGGCAGGCGGCGGATTCTGTACGGGGACCTTTTGCATGGCCGGGAACTGAGCGCGCCCTGCACTTCAAGGGGCCTTTTTGGTGTGCCGATTCCTTCCTCTGAACCGGAAACAGTCTGTTGTGCTTGTCGTCTAGACTCTAGACCGACTATACCCACCACGCAAGCATCCACTGCACCCCCCGCCGACAGAGTCCGAATCAATTATATGGAATCTGTATGATTATAGCATCGTCTGCAGCATGTAACTCCTCCGACAAGTTGCCGCTTCGAACCCACAAAGCCCTGTTCAAACCTGACCCTAAACCCTGAACCTCTGTAAATACCTTAAATTGTGCTCAAGCTGGCTGTTGACGGGGATGCACCCAGCACACCATACAGATGACCCAGACATCTCGATGTGGCCTTCTACTGTACTGGCTCACGCTGCGCTGCCACTGGCCGCGCCCTCTTTGCCGCCTTTGGCGGCGTCGAGCATCTTCTGCAATGCCTCAGAAAGCCCTGTCGAAGGCTGCCCGGCCTTCCGCTTGCCGCCCTTGTCCTTGGTCGTCTTGTCACCCTCGCCGGCGGTAGTGTCAGCGCCAGTAGCATCCTCCTTTTTCGGGGCGGTCAGCTTTGCCTTCTTCTGGGGCTGAGTCTTCTTCTTCTCCAACTCTTCCGCCTTGCGCTTGGCATCCAGCTCCTTGCGCCGGGTCTCCACCTCCTGCGATCCAAAAGGTTGGGCCAAGGCTTCACCGAGCAACTTCAATTAAAAAACATTAACAACTAATCTCAAGGCGGAGGCGGGAGGCTTTCAGAAAGGCTCCTGTGCATATGCGGGTGCGTAGACTTTAGAGCCGGTCTCTGCCATCGCCGCAAGCACACGCTTTTCCACCTGCATCTTGATAAAGTCCCGCTGCTCGGGCGTCGCAACGATGCCCATGTACGGGATGTGGGCGAGGATGCACTCCAGACACAGGTCCCCCGCTCCCGGGGTTAGGTCCACGCAGCTTCCTGCCCAAAAGGCATGAAGCAGGCTGTCAGCCACCATCGGGGGCAGCTGGTGGTAGGATACCGGTTGAACCACATGGTCCTCCAAGCCTTTGGCTCCTCTGCCAGCCCCTACCGTTGGCAGCTGCATGGTCACATCCCCTGCCACCGCCTGGTTCTCTTCTTCATTGTCGTCCGCACTCTCAGTCTCCGAGCCTGTCGCCGCATCATCATCCGCATCGTCAGAGCGTCCCCCAACTGCCCGTCGTCGGGCACCCCAGAAGGTTTTCTTGTCGCCAAACCGCATTTTCGGCAGGTTTTGCCAAGCCTGGAGAGAAATCGGGCCGAGAACGTTGCTCATGTTTGTGCTTTGCGGAAAGTGTTTGTGGGATCGGCTCGGGATGGTGGTGCGGCCGTTGTAGAAGATCAAGGCTTTCTGGTGGCAGTTGAGCTTCAAGCCCTTCGCCTTGCGAAACTTGCGGGCTGCCACAGATGCCTCATCCAGTGTGATCACAATCTCCCGCGCCAGGGTTTTGCCGTCCTGCGGCTTCTTGCCCTTGTCAACAGTAGCTCGCTCCGACGCAGACAGGCCAACAGCCTTCAAAAGCACACTGTTGTTCTGACGCCCCCCATCCACCAGGATCACGATGTCGTTTGGCGGCAAGGTTCCCGGCTGATCGTCCATAGCACGCGCTTTGGAAACGGCGGTCCACATCTTCTGGATCACGGGGGCTTGCAGTGGACCCTGGCGTATGTGTGGCGATGTCACCGACTCGCCGAAGACGTTGGCGTCGAAGTACGTAACATGGTTGCTGCCGGCTGCGGGCCTCGCTGTGCCGATGCGCGACTTGGCAATCTCCTTCTGCAAAGCACTGGCCGACAAACCTTTTTCGACCACGAAGGTGCAATACATAGAGATGTGCCGCCTGGCATAGTTCAGCCAGCTCTCCTGCACGGAAGACAAGTCAACCCCCTCCTCTGAAGCCTCTTTCGGCTGCCCTGCACTGGTGTCCTTCGCCGCCTCGGCATTTTCAGAGGCAGCTGCTGCCTCCTGCTCCTCCTGGCAGTTCGCGGCCTGGATTACCGTGCCCTCTGTGGCGAGCTTTTGGTCAATCTCCTCCACAAGTTTTTTCCATGGGTTGTACTCTTCGGCGATCTCCTGTGCTGTTTTGCTGTTTTTCAAGCCAGTCTTGATTGTGCTCGATTCTTGAGGGTCGAAGAGGAAGCAGGTGCTCTCGACCATCTGCATCAGAAGGGACGTGCTTTCCCGCCATTGGCTCGCAAACGACCTGTCCTCTTCCGTCAAGAACACCTGCTCGTACACTGCCGGATCTGCAAAAATCTTCCTCAACTGCAGCTTCTCATCTGCTGGAAAATTTCGGCAGTCCAAAAACCGTCCCATGAAGAAGTCTCGGAGACCTTTCTTGGTGATGACAAGCTCCAGCGTCCCGATCTTGCCCGAGGTACCCTCTAGCTTCCTGTCCGAGAGATCTGCCGTCTCCAAGCCGCCATGCCGGAGTGCAACGTCAATCAGCTGGAAGCAATACTGCACGCGCTGGGGGGTTTTGCACTTGTAGTAAACCTTCAGGAGCTTGGCGATGCTCCAGGGGGTCTTGTCCTTGTACGTAGCTTCCGCCTTCTGCACCAGAGCCAACACGATCGGGTTCGATAGCACCTTGTCATACACAGTCACCGCGTTTTCGATGAGCTTGGCATCGGAGCGCGGCTCCTCGTCCTCTGTGCAGCCCTCCAAGTGCTCCCGGTAGAGATCGGCGATCTGTCCGTGCGTGAAGCTCTTGTTGTGCTTGGCTTCTGTTCTTCTCTTGAACAGCCATATGTCGCATACCACTTGCGATGGAAGGTGCTGGACCATGTCTGCCATAAACTTCGTTTTCCGTCGGCAGTTCACTGCCCAGAAGTATTGCTCCTCGAAGCTGTCGGCCCGGATAAATCGGCCTGGGCAGCTCAGAATGCATTTCTTCCAGGCGTCCATTTCCTTCTTGGGTGCTCCACTTGCGATGCGCCGGGCGATGTGAATCACCATCGCCTGGACAGGCTCCTCTGGAGAGAGGCGTGTAAACGATCTCAGGGAACTGTCTGGCATGGCTCGGAAGTCCACAGGCTCCGTCAGTGGTTTTACCACCCCCTCAGGCCAAGTTTTCCGGATGAAGGCCTCCAGGCTAGACTCGTTGACCGTCACCGATGGAGTAAGCGACGCCAAACAGCTGTCCCAGAGGCAGTTGACTGCCCCAGACACCAACACTTGAGCACCCCAAGCATCTTTCGGCAAGCGTTCCGCCATCAAGACCAGATCGATGGGAGCCTGGAATCCTTCGGTTTGCGGCAGGGGCAGGCTCGTCTCGAAGTCCATTCCGAAGTAAGCTCTCAACTGATCCAGCGCCATCGTGATGCGCTCATGGAAAGATGCATTGGGGTTGTCGAAGACAGGCTCCAGCGGTGTTTCCGCATGCGCTCCGCTCTTGGCTTTCTTGTCCTTCTTCGCGCCCATGACAGCGAAGGATGCAAGGACGAAGCACCAAAGTTCAAAGATCTCGATAAAATCACGGCTTTAGCACAGGCAACAGCGCACTGCAACACTGCGTCACAGCCTGTAAAGCCCCCCCCCCTCTGGGAAGGCCCCGGAAGCACATACTGCGTTAAGGATTTAGTAAGGGTGACCCTTCCAAGGGGAAGCTGGCGATTCATTGCGGCTCCCGCACTGGCTTCGGCGCGCGCCTCCACAGCGAGCGCGAGGCCGCTCCTGGGCCATGATCGAGGCCGATATCTTCGCATTAAGGGCTTACAGAATCACAGCCGGCAGCCCTGACCATGGCCCCGGATGCCCTTGCAAACCCTTCTAGAGAGCGCCTGAAGCTCGACCCTCATACCCGAACAAAAGCTTCGCTCCCGAGGGCTTCGGCGCCTCCACAGCGAGCTCTGCTCTGGTGACCCTTCCAAGGCCTGAACGTACACTCCCAATAGGGAAGGGTTTAGGGTATTAAGGGTTTATTTGCAGGTTGTAGCTTCAGGCTGCTTGGACCTAGGGTGTTGCAGCTTAAATAAGCCACGTTTCATGCGTTTAGGGGGTTCATCCCTAGACACGATGTGACCAGAAGAGACCAAAAAAAAAGAAAGTGAAAGTCTTTGGGGTGGGCAGGGGCCCGAAAAGTCATTGAAACCCACAGTTCCAAGCTCGGCTCTTCTTGTGGTTTGCGACTCCGAGAACTTGCATCGCTTAATTAGCGTTTACCAAAATACCCCCCCCTTAAGGGCACGCCCCTGCGCCGGGAGGTGCTGCTATTTGAGCTGCGAACTGGTAAAGCTTAATCTAGCACCGCACCCCTGGATGCTGAGGCCCCTGCATGTCGCTGTGGATGGGCTTCCGCCACCCCCTCTGCATCACCAGACCCCTGCGCAGGTGCTTGTTGTTACCCCCGCCCCAGACCTAAAGCAAGGCTCCAGGAAACCTCTAAGCAGCAGGTTACCACAGCTTCGCTGAGGGCCACAGGAGGGGGTAGTGGCCTTCACCTGCGCAGCCGCTTGGCGCTACGGAGGGGGGAGTGGACACCCCACCTGAGCAGAATCACAAGGGCGGATTCGGGAAAGTGCTACAGCAACGACAGTGAGCGCACATCGTCGTAATCATTAAGACCAGTCAGTCGTAGCAGCTCAATCGTACTTGTTGTCGGAGTCATACCGAGTCGTTCGAAAAGAGTGATGTGTCTTAGAACCTACACAACCCCTACCCCCCTATAACATTTTAAATCCCTCGATACCCTCAAACCCTAAGCATCCCCACGCAGGCGCACTGACACCCCCGGCGCTTTTGCAGCGCATCACAGTCGCTCTCTCAGCAACTGGGGTGTGGCACGCACGCTCTCGCAGCGTCACCGCTCTTTCAGCGGGCATGTTGCAAAAGCCTGAACCCGAAACCCCTGAAAGTGCTGGCCGAGCCTTCCTGAGGTCCCAGGGAGGGCGTTTGCGTCGGATGTTGGGCAAAAAGAGTACATCCCTCTCGGAAGTTTAGGAGTTTAGGGTTTTAGGTTTAGGGCTACCATCCTGCGGAGCTCGGGGGTTGGATCTCTTGCGGTAATGGCAGGCACACGGGTACAGCCCAGGGCTTAGAACTAGGTTAAAGGTTTGGGGTGGAGGGCCAGGGAGAGGAGCGCCTTGCTTGCAGTGGTGCGACAAATGCCAGTTTTGCGCCTCCTTTATTAGGATCTTATTATATTTCTATTAGAAATATAGTGGGTTTTTAATAAAGGAAGCCCAAAACTGACATTTTCCTTGTTTTTTTAGGCTTTCATGGCCTGGCCCCCCCCCTCTCCTTGCAAACCCCTAAGCCCTGAAACCCCTCCGTAGAGCAGAGCGAGGCAGCGGCGAGCCGGAGGATATTCCATTGCCTCAGGCGCGGAGTCTTCCGTTGCAGGGTCCACATTTAACATGCACTCGGACCAAGCAGAACTTCTATTTCCTGCTGATTCAAACTCCAAGCCCTCCAGAACCGCGTGCAGCAGAGTGAGGCACCGGCGAGCTGGAGCATGCGCTGCCAATTGCTTGCCTCAGGCGCGGGGTTTACCAGCGGCAAAACAAGCTTAAGAAACCGCAGGTGCGCGCAAGAACCTTTCCTGCTGATCCATCGGCTCCCAGGATCCACTGGCTGACCAGAGCGGGCTGAACTGTTTCCCCACAGTATTTAATTATAATTTACAAGCCCGGGCAGGATCTGCCCCTGTCTAGCCTGGCAATGAAATCTTTGAATTCGCGCACATCAAAGCAATGCTTCACACCGCTGTATGTGGCACGCTCACTATCCACGATCAATGCGAGAACCGCAGATGGCATGCCTTTGTCTGTGGCCTTCTGTTTGGCCTGGGCGAAATCTTCTATGCTGTCCAGGAGCTGTAACTTCCTGCCAGCACGATGTTGGAGTACATGCATTACGCGTGGATGCGCTGCTTGAAAAGCGGCTGTACAGAAGATTTCCCTCTTTGTGTGTTCCCAGGGCTGATACTTCAAGGACACGCCCTTGCCTCGCAAGACCATGTCCGGACTCATCACCCAAGCTCCCCGTAAAGCTACAGCCACTAGCATCTCGTCCGTCCAAGCTGTGAAGTTGTCTGTCACAACGACCAGGGCTTCATGAAGATGTGCGGTCGTCGTCCAGCCTCTGCGATCCATGGCTTGGTCCATGAGAGGTTCGCGGAGGGCGTCCGAGATCCAAACCTCCAAACCTTCCAGCTCCTCCTCTGAGGGAGGCCGCCGCTGGATAGTGGCGCGCATGCGAGCCTCCGCCCTCTCCCTGGCCAGCATGTTCTTGACTGTCTTGTCCACGTGCTCCTTGGCAAGGGCCTGTATCTCCGGGCCGACTTCATTGACGTCAACTGTCCCTGTCTGCATAGCCTCAAAAAGACGGGTCATCTGCTTCTTCAAATTGAACTGAACCTCGCGATCATGTCCCGCAGTCCAAGCCAATGCTGGGTCCGTTTCGACACACTCTGGCGCCTCGGCATTCATGACCCCCTCCCGCCGCCGTTTCCTGAAACCAGCTTCGGTCACCTTCTCCGGTGTGAAGCTCCGTGCCCGGCGAAGCGCACGCGAAACACCCTTGTCGAAGCGCGGCTTCTCCCGCTTGCGTGCTTTACTATACAACTCTGTCCACAAGCTCTGTGCCCCTGCCAGCACCTGCTTGTCCAGCTCCGTGCCAGAGCAGGCCAACATCACCGTGTCACTCTCCACCGCAACTTCCGCATGGAGCTGTTGCTCGGATAAGAGTTTTTGTACACGGCTGAAATCCCGCTCAATGATAGAGTCCGAGGAGGACATTGCCGCGTAATGGGCGAGCAGTATCTGCAAGTTATCCACTGGGTGCTTCGCCCTGGCTGCTGGGGAGGCAGTAACTTTCAAGGCCCACTTCCACCCATCCAGGTTGCTGCACTCTTTCTCCCGGAAATGGGCCACTGCTATGGCACCGAGATCGAAAAATTCAAGCTTCAGGAGATCCTGGCAAAGGGCGCGGTAAGGGGGAAATGGACTCGTAACCCAGCTCTCTATCCTAAAAGGTTCACGCTCTTGACCCTGGTTTTACTTCAACTCCTGTCCTTGTCCAAGTGGAACGCAGACGCAAGGCGTTGCAGTGGCTCGTCGAACTTGGTGGGCAATCCATGCCTGGCATTTTCTTGCGTAGGCCGAGGGAATTCCTCGAGGTCGCAGCACCGGAAGCAAGACACGAGCTCAAAGTCTGGATGTTCCGCGGAAACAACTTCCTTTACAATGGTGTGCCAGGCCTGCATCCGCTGGAGCACAGTTGCACGCAGGGCTGTGGAGACGGACTGGGGTCCTCCAACGCTACGCATCTCACCGGCCACGTAGAAGTGTGTAGGGGGGCCTCTGAGGAAATCCAGGGTCGCCTGTGTGTAGCCGTGCGCCGTCCAGATGTACTGGCCTACAAACAAGTGCTCCAGCCGCTCCAGGAATGTTTTCACGGTGGCCGCTATCTTGCTGTTGTCTACCTCGGAATGGTCAAACCACCGAACCAAGACCAAACATTCGTCGGCCGCGTCTGCCAGCATGCCGGCTTGAAGAATCATTTCGTTGTCCAGGCCTTGCAGAATTGCCTGCGCAGCACGTCCAGACGTGTCGTTGGGCCTCTCCGTGACCACTCGCACCAGGAAAGCAATCACTGCTGGCCAGTCCAAGCACATCCTCGCCAGCGGCGTGGCCAGGCTTTCGTACCTGTGCTTTGCTGCTCGCATGTTGGTAAATACTGTGGAGACTGTCTGGCACGCAGATTCGCGGCAGCACTCGGTAAACCATGCTCGGTGGTCCAGGCTGTGCTGTACCAATTGTGCAACGCTGCAAGACTCGGATATCAATGAGCCTGCCACTGCGGAGAGATACGTATCACAAGCCCATGGCCTCTCCAGAATCCGCCGACTGGCATGGGCTTTGTCGCGCACAATCGTCATGAGGTTAGGCGTGAGGGCTTGGCCTCGCATGGCAGTGGAGCTGTGGTGGCTTTGCATGTTGACACCAGACGCCACTTCGTTGCCCGCGGCATCCACGGTCAATGCGTAAATGCTGTGCCGTAGGTGCTCGAAATCTTTGATGTCTATGTCAGCTGTAGCCTCTGTATACGGAGCATTGTAGAACCTGGTACAAAACTGCGCGAAGAGCAGTTTCGTGGCCTCGGTTACGTTGGTCGCTGTTGACTGAACGACACGACACTGGCCCAGGATGCCTACACCACGCTCCGCCATCAGGTTAGCACAGCGAAAGCGGACGTACAACCGTCCTTTTCTCTCATCCCGAAGCAAGTTCACACTGAAACTGCCTCGTATCCATCCCCGGTAGATGTTCTTCAAGGACTCGGCCAAAACAAATTGCATGCATTTCGCTTTCTTGAAATGCCCGACTCCAGGCACTCCATCCCTCAGCGAGCCCCCCCGCCGGATCCATTGCAACAACGCATCAAAGTCAGCCAGAGCAGGTGCCCCAGACGTGCAGGACAGTGGCATACCGACTGTTTCATCAGGCTGCAGCAGTCGCCCCACTGCTGCCAGATGTGCAGCGCTGCAAGCGTGCTGTTGAAGCCGCGCTGGCTTCAGCCCTTCCACATGGACTATCCCATAGCGTCCCACGATATCCCTGTCTTTCTCAGCCAGGAGCTCAGAGCACAGGCAACAGCCGACTTTGAAGCAAGAATCCTCCTCCACGGCATTCACCCACGTCTGGCCGCTGAGCTCTTTCGCTTTTAAGACTAGCTCAGGTCCGAATTTTTTCGTGACTTCTGCTGAGAGGATCGGATAATCACTGGCACTTAACTTGCCGAAGCGCTTGCATGGACAGCGCGATCCACATGTGTGCCCCGGGGCAGAAACACTCATGGCTGCACTGGCTGAGCTCCACGCACGCTGTCTGGGCAGGAGCCGCAACTCTTGGGTATGTTTCACTTGAAGCAAGTCATACGACTGTCTGGCTGCAACTACAGCGCTCTGAAGCCCTCTGTCGCGGAAACTCTGACAGACCAAAGGTAACTCTGAGGATGCTGCCGTCTTCGGTGTTCACGAGGACGAAACTTCGACGGGACCTGGCGCACCGGGTTCTGTTGGGCGGCACACAATCTCGCACGCACACTGCGCTGATATTCTTTGCCTGCCAAATTCAAAAGGAGCATATCCGATCACTCTACTCTTCCGCAGCAGCGACACTATGCATAACATCGAAGGCTTGGGCAAATCGATCGCACCTCCGGAAAGTAGTTTCATCCACAAGACCGGACGCTTTCAAAGCATTCGGCAAAATACGTAGAACTACAGTAAATGTCATAGCATTGCCGAGCATAAGCCGGTACTGCCTTTCCGAGATGCCCAGGTCTCTTACTGCTATAAGCCCATCAGGAAACCCTTGCAGCCTGGCAATCTCCCGGGTGGATAAGAAGCCACCCTTAAATGGGCACCAGTAGCTTTCTCGACCAGCTTCCGACCGCGTGATGGTGCAGGCTCTCCCCATTGGGGAGGCATGGGCGAAGCGTGTGCTCTGTCCAGCTGTCACAAGAAATGCTTGATTGAAGACGTTGACTCCACGATCCACTAAAGGCTGCAAGCAAGCCTGCACGCTCTCTCTGGCCAAGCCCTGCTTAGGCAGGACAGCAAACTCCTCCTCTGGCAGCTTGTCAATGAAGTCCTCTAGGCGAGGGCAGTGCACAGGCTTCGGGAAGCAAAAACCACCCGGGCAATCCTGTCGAACCGCCACAATATAGCAGCGGAGACGATCCTGGGGAACACCGAAGCAGGCGGATGACAAAATCTGGACAGAAACCTCATAATGTTGTTCCAGCTCACTGAGGGTCAAGTCTCGGAGCTCCGCATGGTTCTCGTCTTGCAAGAACTGGGGGACCTGTTCCAGTATCACAAGTCGAGGCTTGTGAATGGATATGTAAGCCAGGCTTTGCAGCAGTAAGACCCCCCGGCCACCCGGATCCCGGATTCCTTTGCCGTGCCCTTGTCGTGAGAAAGGCTGGCACGGGGCTCCAATGCAATAGATGTCTGAGCTGGGCAGGCCAGCGACGTCGCGGCCATTGATATCCTCGAAGATCTGCTCCACCCCCAAGTGACTCATGACCTTGCGGGAGCTGGCCTCGATGTCACTGCCAAACAGGTGCCGATAACCCAAACGCAGCGTCCTCAAAGCCCATGCTATAGTTTCCAGCCCGCTGAAGTCCGTGCCCAGAGTCATCAACGGACGTGAGCGTGCCCGTTTGGTGACTGCATGCGGACGCTCGACCAAGCAATTCCGCTTAACTTTTGGCATCGCTACTGCTCACTTGTTACATATTCGAGCCTGGACATCCGCGAACATTGCTCAGTTTTCGGCACTTCTGAAAGCACTTCCTGGCCCACTTCCGAAACCCCGGCGGTTTCGGAACCGACCACTTCTGAAGTCTGGTTGGTGTTGGTAAACCACTTCTGATTGGTACTTGGTGCTTAACTCTTAACCCGCATCCCAAACCACTATATAGTACTTAACCCGTGTCCCACCCCCGTCGTTCTGTGCCCGCAACCCAAACCGCTATATAGTACTTAACCTGTGTCCCCTCCCGTGCTGTTTCCATACCACCCACACCCGTGGATCCTACATTTGCCACTGCAGCAGAGGCTTCTGAAGTCTAGTCTCCTACCGTCTTGCCAACTTACAGCAAAACCCCATCACGTGAACACTTACTGAACCCTCAAGCCCCAGACACCCATTGCAGGCCTTCGATCGTAAACACCGCTGACAAGTCGGGCCCGTCGGGTCGGGCGCCTCGGACAGCGGTCTAGGAGCGATGATTTGCTTCAGGATTGCGAGGTGTGGGGTTTTGGGGGCTCGTGCTTCAATCGCTCCGATTCTAAATTCTGGTGACAGCTGAGCTTGTGTGCTGGAAGAGCCGCGGACAACTTCAGACTGTAATCCGTCTAGGGCCGCGACACAGGGCGGAGGCGTCTGTAGCTCCTGTGCCAGTTTTGCTTTGCCGTTCACGGGAACAGAAAAGTGTAATCCGGAAACGCACACGCACGTCTAGGCTTAGCACTGCTTGTCACATGCTTCGGACGCAGCATCTCTCCCGATGCATTTAGGGTCAAATGCCGCAGCGGGCCAAGAAAGGCAATGGAGGACTACAGAGGGTGGTCCAGAAAAGAGTGGGCCGAGTATCGCAGAGAACAAGGCTGGAAGCTGTCGGAATTCCAGGAATGGTGGCAGCAGATTTCTGAAGACGAGCAAGCCAAGCAACCGATGATGCCGCAGCCAGCCCATCAACGAGTGATGCCAGCGCAGCAAGCCCAACCCATGGTGCCGCCGCCGCAGCAGGCCCAACCTATGCAGCCGCAGCAAGCCGAACCCATGAGGCCGCAGCAAGCCCAACCCATGATTCTGCGGCGAGCCCAACCTGTGACGCCGCAGCAAGCGCAACCTATGACGCAGGCAGCCCAACCTATGAGGCCGCAGCAAGGGCAACCCATGATGCCGCAGCAAGCCCAACCCATGATGCCGCAGGGAGCCCAACCTATGATGCCGCAGCAAGTGCAACCTATGACGCAGGCAGCCCAACCTATGAGGCCGCAGCAAGCGCAACCCATGATGCCGCAGCAAGCCCAACCCATGATGCCGCAGGCAGCCCAACCTATGAGGCCGCAGCAAGCGCAACCCATGATGCCGCAGCCAGCCCAACCTATGATGCCACAGCAAGCGCAACCTATGATGCCACAGCCAGCCCAACCTGTGATGCCACAGCAAGCGCAACCTATGAGGCCGCAGCAAGCGCAACCCATGATGCCGCAGGCAGCCCAACCTATGATGCCGCAGCGACCCCAGCAACCTATGATGCCGAAGGCAGCCCAACCTATGATGTCGCAGCGACCGCAGCAACCCATGATGCCGCCACCCGCGGCACCGAAAGCATCTGCAGGCGAAGCTACACCAAAGGCCAAAGGACAAGGCCGCCGAGGTGCACCCGACTCGCGTGGAGATGGGCACCAGAATAGGGTCGAGAGGCGATCTCTCACCCGGCAGCTGGAGGATGCTCTGACCCTGAATGCCGAGTTGATCCGCAAAGCAGACAGGTTGGAGCAACAAAGAGACGATGCTGTGAGGGCAGAGCAATGCGTCAAGCAGCAGCTGGCCGATGAGCGAGTGCTCTCTGACGCACGGGTCGCTCGCCTAGAAGGGGAGAAGGAAGGTCAGCGAGTGCAGGCGGTGCACTGGAAGCTAGAGTCGAGTTCGCATCTCAGGGAGATCTCGAACCTGAAGGAGCAGCTCAGCTTGCAAAGAGCTAAGAATGAAAAGCTGCAGACTGAGAACAGGGACTTGAAAACAGAAGCGGATGAGCTGCGAACACAGAAGCTCGCACAGTCGCTGGAGTCTCCCGACACCAAGCCCACCAAAGCTGCTTTGGAACGTGCCCCAGCTGAAGACAAGAAGCGCAAGCCTAGCCCCACCAAAAAGGAATGTCGCGAGGACGGGATTCTGTGCTGATGCCCTTAGAAACCCGAAAGCCGTGCTCAATCGTCCCTCTCACGTGCAAGGCCACCAAGTCAAAGGATCCTGGAAGTACATCAGCCCAGGACCCTGGAAGCAAAGTGTGCCTTCGAGCAGTTGTTTCATGCCCTGCGCCTGCCAGGACCAAAGTCCGAAGCGCAGAAAGAAAGAGGAGGCCTCGGCATTTTCATGCTTGAAATCCCTCTTTCCAATCATAACTGACTGTAGCCGTAGCCACTCTACTGATTTACTCAGGCGGCCAAAGAGAGCAAGCAGAAAGAGAAAAAGAAAAGATGAGCTGAGTTCCGAGGCGGGGAGGACACACGACATTGGCAAGACAACAAAGGCTTCATGACTCACCTGCCAGGCTGCACCTGGACTCCTACCGCTTGCCTGGCAGACTCAGTGGAAGCGGCGACAAAAGACTGTGGTCGTGTGTGCTGTGCACTCTGCTTCCATGCAAATGCCTGCATGTTATTTCCACCTACCTGGCATGTGCTTCGTCTGAGGTGGCTGCCGGTCCCGGTCAGACGGTGGCTTTGCCAGGCTGCGCAGCACTGAGGGGCTCTTGCATGGACTTGGGAACTACATATCTGTGCCTTCAGGTCATTAGACTAGAGTGAAGCGGAGACATGTTGTATTCTCTCGCAGACCCCTGCGCTCTTGCAGCGCAATCGCTCTTTCAGCGGGGGGGTCAGACGCAACGCTCCTTCAGCGTGTCACCGCTCTTTCAGCGGCCCATACGACAAACCCTATATGCCTATAATATCGCCTCCCTGCCCTGAGGCCTCGTCCGTGCTGTGGCCGTCGACGATGACCAAGCCAATCCAGGGGCTCGTAGAATGGGCTCTCTGGGCTTTTTGGGTTTAGGGTTTTTAGGTTCTTAGGGCTTTAGGGTTTTAGGGTTGTAGGGCTTTAGGGCTTTAGGGCTTTAGGGCTTTAGGGTTTTAGGGCTTTAGGGTTTTAGGGCTTTAGGGATTTAGGGTTTTAAGGTTTTAGGGTTTTTAGGGGTTTCTGTAGAATGTGTTTGGGTTCTGAACAGAAACCAACCAGCACATACTGTTTTGGTGGGCCGCCACAGGGAACTCGAAACCGAACATTGCTTTCCTACCCCCCCCCGGTTCCAGTCTACTAGTAGTTCCAGGCTTTAGCGTCATTCGCTTTTTGAAAACCTGGTTTCTGGATCACAGTGCGTTGCTGACAGCCCGGTTGTGAATCCAAATGTTTGTCTCTTTTCGGCACACACCTTTAAACCAAAGCTTGTTTTAAGTCCAAGTAAAAAAAGCGGATTTTTTCGGCACATGCCCCGGAACCAAAGCCCTTTCTAGAATCCCAGTTTTTGGGTTTTCTCGGCAAACAAATTTAAATCAAAGCCTGTTTTTGAACTACAGAGGCTTTGCTTGTTTTCAGCACACACTCCAAAACCAAAGCCGAAACCAAAGCCTTTTGAACCCTTGTTTTTTCCACACGGCCCGGAACAGAAGTCCCAGCCAACGACTTTGGTAAATGGTGGAAAAGGCTTAAGCAAGCAGCAAGAATCCCTGGGTTTCTTGGAACCTACCTAAACTGCACTCGAAGACTTTTTGCGCCGCACTCTGTCCGTCGGGGCGCTGCGTTCCGGATCACATGTCGCAGAAGAGCAGGGTCACCTGGCTCAGGGGCACATCGCGCATGCCCTCGCAACGGAGGGTCTTGGTGTCCGGATCGTACTGCTCGAAGAGCAAAGTCTCCCCGTCGACGGTCTCCACGCTCTCTACGCCGTAGGGCGCGGGGTCGGCCATGAGGAGCGCCTCGAAGTCGCTGATGATCTCGCGGCGGCCGTCAGACCAGAAGCCGTAAAACCCGTTGAGCAAGGTGGGGGCCTCCAAGAGCAGAGTGACCCGCGTCACCTTGGCGATGCTGCCGTCGACCTTGAAGGCCTTGCCGCTGCGGCGGTCATCCACCATCTCCGGGACCACATTCTCGAAGATCTGGGGCGTGCCCAGCTTGCGGCTGTCCTTGAAGAGCTGCAAAGTGGCCCTGAACCCCAGCCTCTCCAGGACCTGCCCGGCGTGGAAGAGGTCGCCCGAAACCCGACTGAGGATTTTGTCGGTGATCTCGACGTCGAAGCCCTGCTCGCCGAAGATGCGGACGGTCTGGGCGGGCTCCTCGTCTGCGGGCTCGGCGTCCTGGATGGCAGGCAGCTCCGCGGGCTCCGTTTCGGCTCGCGTCGAGCTGTCCTCAGAGTCCTCGGGCTTCTTCTCGGCAGGCTGCTGAGGGGCTGGCTCCTCGGCTGCTGCCGGCTCGGCGGCGGGCCAACTCTCGTCGTCGGTCAACTTCAGGCGCAGCTCGGCGAAGTGGCTCGGCACCTGAGACCGGTTCTCCGGCTTGATCACCACTCGGAAAGCAGGCATGCCCAGCATGTCAATGTGACGCTCGCGGCCAGTAGACTGTGGACATATGAACACGACTATCTCCAGCAGCTCGGGAAAGGGCTTGCCGGCCCGCAGGTAGTCGAGCATCTTCTCGACATCCTTGACAACGTAGTGGTTGGCCGACTGGTAGCTGCAGCGCATCCCGCGGATGGTAACCTGCATGCCATCCGGGATAGGGTCGTTGTAAACCCGTATTTTGCGATTGTGTATGTCAAGCTCACTTTGCAAAGGACTGCAGCAGTCCCGCCGGTGGCTGAGGGGCGGCTGGCGGCGCCGGTGGCTGAGGCGCTGGCTCCGCGGGCGCTGCTTCGACCATGGGTGCGGCTGAGGGCTCGGCAGGCTGCTCGAAGGTCAACTTCAGGCGCAGCTGAGCGCAGGTGCTCGGCACCTGGGAGCGGTTCTCCGGCTTCAACTGCATTCCATAGAAGGTACCCAAAGGGGGGCTCGTCGACTCAATGCACAAAACGATCTCCAACAGCTCGGGAAAGGCCTCGCCACCCCGCAGGTAGTCGAGCATCTTCTCGACTTCCTTGACAATGTAGTAGTCGGCCACCAGGTGGCTGCAGCGCACCCCGTGGACCAAAATCTCGGGAAGCTGCTCGTGAGCCGCGCTTAATGGCTCAGGGGAGGGTGGCTTGGGGGCTGGTGGCGCCGGTGGCGGCTGCTCCGCGGGCGCTGCCTCTGCAGGCGCTGCCTCTGCGGGCTCCATGGCTGCCGGCTGGGCTGCTGGCTCGGCGGCCTCCTCGGTGCGTCGGCGCTTCGGCTCCTTCTTGAGTGGAAGGTCCAGCCTCTCGAGCATCCTCACGGGCAGCCACAGGCGGATAAGCGCGGAGCTAGGAAGCGCCTTGCCGCCATCCTTGGGAGACCAGCAAGCTCCAATCGCCTGCAGCTCCACGTAGCGCTTGTTGCCCGGCACGTAAGCCATGGCCTTCTGAATCCCGAACGGCACCACGCAGCTCGGCGAGAAGGCGTCCACGTTCGAAAACTGGACCACGATGTGCTCGAGCCCCACCATCGAAAGGCGGCAGCCGATCTGCTCGCCAAGCTGGAACTTCCCGCCGAGGTCGTGGCCCTCGAAGCCCTCCAGCTTGACGCCCGCCTTCACCAGGACGTCGTCCACGATGCGGTCGCCCTCCTCCATGGTCAGCCCGCTGCGGAGGTGCCGTCGCTCCTTGGCGTCCTCGCGCTGGAGCTTGGCGGCCTCCTTGGCAGCCTCCTTGTCCTCCTCGCGCTCGCGCTTGGCCGCCTGCTTGGCCAGCTCCCTGTAGTGCTGGCTGCTGCCCTCGGCCCCGAGGATGCGGTCGAGCTTCTGCTCGATGCGGCCGACGCCGTCCTTGATCTCGCCCTGGCCCTGCTTCAGCTCGGCCTGGCCCTGCTTGAGATCCCTCGTGTTCTGGAGGGTCTCCTTTGCAACCTTCTTGCGGTGCTCCATGCCCTCCTTGCGCTTGGCCTCCAGCTCGGCGAGCTCCCGCTTGCACGCCTCGAGCTCCTCTGCGGTCAGTTCGCGGCCGCGGCAGCCTTTCTTCGCGGAGCGCATGTGGCCGGTCTGCACCTTAGTGCGGAGCGTCTGCAAAGATCCCTTTCCGGGCACGTGCTGGCTCGGCATCGCGGCTACTCTGAAGGCTGCGGCGATTTCGGAGATCAGCGAATTGCTGCGGAATGAAATTTCTACAAGGCAGCAGGGGAGAAGCGAGCAACCGAACGAGCCTGACCTGTGGTGCACCTGTGGTGCACCCAACCGAGCTTTTGTGGTGCACCCCTGGCGTTTGAGGGGCCCCCTATAGAAGGGTGCCCAGAGTCCGGAGCAATCGTGCCAACCGAGCTTTTGTGGTGCACCCCTGGGTTTTGAGGTGCCCCCTATAGAAGGGTGCCCAGCGTCCGGAGCAATCGTGCCAACCGAGCTTTTGTGGTGCACCTGTGGTGCACCTGTGGTGCACCTGCGGCGGTGCATCACCCCGGCCCATGTTCCGGCCCGTGGGCCCAATGGTCCGGGCACGAAGCCCCAATGATCCGGCCCGTGGGCCCAGTGGTTCGACCAGGATGTGCGCCCCCAGCCAATTTAAGCCCCTCGGTCCCCTATATAAGAAGGGGAAAAAGGTGGCTCCAAGGAGTTTTTTATTCCAATCCGGCTTGGGTGGCCCTTGGGCCCAATGCTACTCCGAAGAGCTGATGGTGCTCCGAAGAGCTGATGGTGCTCCGAAGAGCTGATGGTGCTCCGTGGAGCTGATGGCGCTCCGTGGAGCCTATCGTGCACCACACGATCCCGTTCCTCGATCCGTCGCGGCCTGCCTGTTGTTTTGTCGCGTCGTCCCTGTGGGGTCCTAGGCTTAGCCCCTCGCCATGACGCTTGTGCCGGGAGGAGGGCCCGGGACTCGCCCCCCTCCTCGGCTTCCCTTGGGGTTCTCGGCTTTGCCCCTCGCCATTCCGATGCGCACGGCGGGGCCAGGGGGGACCGGGACTCGCGAGTGGTGCTCCCGCTCGGCCCCCCTGGCCCCTCTTTTTCACCGTCGCGTGAAGTCGCGACGCCCCAGCGGCGGCGGCTGCACCTGGGGGCCGCGGAGGGGGCCGGGGATCCCGGATGCAAGGCAGCCTAGGGGGACCCCAAGGGGTTCGGGACCTAAAAACCCCCAGAACCCCAAAACCCTCAGCCCTCGCGCCTGCACTCTAGACCTGGCAGCCTGAGGAAACCCACGCCTTCCAACCTTCGAGATGACCCTGAACCAAACCCGAAGCCTTGCGCGCACAGTCCACTGCCTCGCTGCCTAGGAAATCCAAAAAACCGCCTCGGAACACCCTGAAGCCTAGGGGGGAGTGCCCGGCACGACGAGGAGACGGTCCGGACCTGGGCGGGGAGGGAGCGCAAACCACAAGCACGCACAACACTGCCTCGCAACCTCGGAGCCCCAAAGACCTGCAAACCGAACAAACCCTGAACCTCGCGCGCACAGACACTCCTACCTGCACTCCTAGTGGCGACCCTCCTACGGCTACACTGCGGGAGCCCGGCCGCGAGCGAAGAGGACCTGGGCGGCGAGAGCAAGGAGGAGGGAGAGGGTCGGGGAGGGGAGCGCGCACAAACACTGCCTGGCAGCCTCGGAGCCCAAACCACCTGAAACCGAACAAACCCTGAACAAACCCCGAAGCCTCGCACGACAGAGCACTCCTACCGGCGACCCCTCCTACCGCAGCACTCTGAGTTCCCGGCCGCGCCCCGCCCGCCCCGACCGCCCGCCCCACCCAGCCCACCCTCCCCCCCGGCCCGGCTTGAAGCAAAAAGGCAGAAGAAGCACAGAGTTGAAGCAGCAGCGGCAGAAGCAAAAGGGGGTCGGGACCTAAGGCAGGGACGCGGGGTTCGGGCAGCCTACGGGGGTGGGGCTCGTCGCGCACTCACTTGCAGGGACGCACACAGGGCACTCCTACCGGGGGGCCGAAGGGGTTAGGGACCCCGAACTCCCAGAACAAAACCCCTAAACCAGCCCACCCCCCAGCACGCGGCACCCCTTTTCAAGAGAACGCCAACCCTCGGTGCCTGCCACCACCCAAACGGATCCTGCTTCACCACCCTGGCCTATGCCTAAGGATTTGAAAGTAATTATAGTTATAGGAAATAGCAGGGTCCGTTTCGGCGGCGCAAGGTGGCTCGTGGCACACACTCAAAAGAACTCCGACACAAAGCCTTCGAAAGCACCGCCGCCGGAGCCACCACCAAAGTCCGGATCACCCTTGTCCAAGGGCTCGTAGCCTGGCGCTTCCGGCCCCTTTGGCTCATCGTCTTCATCTTCCTTCTTGTTCTTCTTCTTTTTGGGCGCGTCCTCTTGCGCCGGCTCCTTGTCTTTCTTCTTTTTCCGCCTCTCTTTGCCAGTCTTCTCCTGTGGCGGTGCCAGGGGCGGTGCCAGGGGCGGTGCCAGGGGCGGTGCCAGGGGCGGTGCCGGGGTCGCGTCCAGCGCTGCCGGCGGTAACCTGAACGGTGGCTTTGGATCGCCTTCTGCCTTGCAAGCTGCATCCGGCTTGCCTCCAGCAGGCGGTGCTTGCCTGGAAGGCTCCACAGAACGAAACCTCCCATCTGCTCCGCGGGGCGTCAAGGGACTTGGAGTTGCAGCTCCATCGGCCCCGCCCTTTTTCCATCCGAGGCAAGGGCCTCTTCGGCACCCGCTTGGTGGGTGTACCGTACATGCGGTGCATGTTCCGCACCGCGGCCTTGGAGGAGCCCGAGCTGCGCTGGGCGCGCCGCTGCCGCTGCCGAGTTCGCGGGCGAGGCTGTTGGCCACGTGGTCCAGCAGGCGAGCGGTGAGCTGTTGGTGCGCGACTTGCGCTCTCTCCGTCTGTTGCACAACTGCGTCGAGGATCCGCCTGAGTCCATCAAGCTGTTCTTGCGCTTGTTGGTCTCTCCTTTCCAACAGTTGGCACAACCTGATGAGGTCCGGCAGCTCACGTCCGGCGGCCTGCGCTCCTTCGAAGCGCCTCGTCGCTTCCTGGCTGACGGCCTCCTCAAAACACCTCCTCTCAGCCTCTTGCCACTCTGCCGCCTCCTTTTGTCGGCGCTCTTCCTCCTCCTTGCGACGATCTTGCTCTGCCTTGCGGCGCTCCTCCTCGACCTTGCGGCGCTGCTCCTCGAGCTTGCGGCGCTGCTCCTCCGCCTTTTGTCGCCGCTTCTCCAGCTCCTCTCGCTCCTGTTGCTCCCTTTGTTCTTCTTCCTCTTCCCTCTCCGCTTGCGCAATCATTGCATCCACCCTGTCTGCGACCTTCTCCGAGCTCGACGAGCTGGATGACTCTACCGGCTCTGCCGTTGCCTTTGCTGTCTCTGCTGTCTCCGTTGCCTCTGGTGCCGGTGGCTCTGCTGTTGGCTCTGGTGCTGGTGGCTCTGCTGCTGTTGGCTCTCGTGCTGGTGGCTCTGCTGTTGGCTCTGGTGCTGGTGGCTCTGCTGTTGGCTCTGCTGGTGGCTCTGCTGCTGCCTCCGCTGGTGCCTCTGCTGGTGGCTCCGCTGGTGGCTCCGCTGGTGGCTCCGCTGGTGGCTCCGCTGGTGCTGTCGGCTCTGCCGGTGCTCCTGGAGCTGGGGTCCCAGAAATAACATGGTGCCACCAACTTACCGCCGCACTGAAGCCAGCGCGGTCACCAGTGCAGCTGTCGCCCTCGCCCGGGCGGCCGTCGTCGTCGTCACCAGTGCGGCCGTCGTTGCCGTCGTCGCCCACTGCCACAGCATGCAGCCACAACAGCATGACTGTGATACCCACAGCTCTGAAGCCTGCCATGGTGCGCTCTTGGAATTCTACGAAATCCGTGGCTGCAATACCCGAAGGCCTGTCCAGTGCTTGCCTGAGCTACGTGCCTTAACTGCAGTGCCCTAAGGTCTATGCAACTGCGCCTAAGCTACCCAGTGTGGAGCTGTGCCTACGGTGAGCCCACGTTGCGCCTACTACCGTACTCATGCATGCGCTGAGGCTCTCTGATCTTGAACCGCGGCGCGGACCATGGAAGTTCATTAGGGTGGGGCAGGGTCTCGGGGACGGGATAGGGCGCTCCCCTCAGTTACCGTAGCTCGCCCTCACACTCATGTCAGATCCATGATGTGCAAAATCCTGCAAAATGAGCACGCATGCGCGAAATGCAAACGGTCGGACGGCGGCGGCAGTACCAGCAAGGTGACGGCGGTGGCTCCGGCGGTGGCTCCGGCGGCGTGACGGCGGCGGCTCCGGCGGCGGCAACGGCGGCGGCTCCGGCGGCGGCTCCGGCGGCGGCAAAGGCGGCGGCTCGGCGGCGGCTACGGCGGCGGCGGGGCGGCTACGGCGGCTCGGCGGCGGCTACGGCGGCGGCGGCGGCGGCTACGGCGGCGGCGGCAACGGCGGCGGCTACGGCGGCGGCTACGGCGGCGGCTCCGGCGGCGGCAACGGCGGCGGCAACGGCGGCGGCTCCGGCGGCGGCTACGGCGGCGGCTACGGCGGCGGTCCATTTCTCGGAACTCAGGACGCAGGGTCAAAAGTCCCGTTTGGTTTTCGCAACCTAAAACGGCATCACTGGCCCCCGTGATGCACCGCCACGGGTGCACCACAGGTGCACCACAGGTGCACCACAGGTGCACCACAGGTGCACCACAGATCCACCACGACCCCCAGCTTTCAGCGATAACCCGCACAGCCCTGAAACCGCGACCTCCCGGACCTCCGAAGGTGCACCACAGGTGCACCACAGGTGCACCACAGGTGCACCACAGGTGCACCACACCCTCCAACTTTCAGCGATAACCCGCACAGCCCTGAAACTGGAACAAAAGTGCGGCCTCTCTCTTGTATAGCAGTGTCTCCGCCCCACAATCGATCGTCTACGCAGGAGCTGATTCAAAATCGAAAGGGTGTTGAGCCTACAGCCTCGGGTCAAAAACGAAAGATCGAGAGGGCTCAGGGCCGTAGGACGCAACGATCTTCGGCCTTTTAGGCCCAAAATTTTAGGACGAGCGAATCGGAGCTCCACGATTGTGGACCCGAGCGGAGCGAACGGAGCGAAGCGGAACGGACTGAGCGAGCGGAGCAAACGAAGCGGAGCGAAACGAACGAGGGAGCGGAGCGCAGCGGAGCGGACGAGTGAGTGGAGCGACGCGGAGTGCGCGGAGAGAGCGAAGGGAGTGCAGCGGACGGAGCTGAAGCAGAGCGAGCGGAGCAAACGAGGCGGAGCGAAACGAACGAGAGAGCGGAGCGGAGCGGAGCGAACGAGTGAGTGGAGCGAAGCCGAGTGCGCGGAGAGAGCGGCGCGAAGCGAAGTCAGCGGAGTGAGGGTAGCGAGAGAGTCCACAATCGTGGAGCTCCGATTGCGAGGAAAATTTTGGGCCTAAAAGGCCGAAGATCGTTGCGTCCTACGGCCCTGAGCCCTCTCGATCTTTCGTTTTTGACCCGAGGCTGTAGGCTCAACACCCTTTCGATTTTGAATCAGCTCCTGCGTAGACGATCGATTGTGGGGCGGAGACACTGCTATACAAGAGAGAGGTTTAGGGTTCTTTTAAACGGCATAGGGTTTAGGGTTTAGGGTTCTTTTAAGGGCGCCTTCCGGGGCTCTAGAAGGGTAAGTGAAATAAAGGTTTAAGGGTTTGGGGTTTAGGACTCTGTTTGTTGGCTTGGGGGTTTCAAGTTTCGCGTTTTGGGGTTGACGGTCTAATTAAGTCGAAGGTCCGGGGATGTTCGAGGGTTAGTATTGATTTGGGGTACCTTCGGGGTTCCAGATTCGAAGGGGCCAGGAAGGAGTATTCCGGTCCATGTCTTTGTGTTGGAACTTAAACTTGAACACACCGATACCCACACGAGAAGGGGGACCCACGCGCGTTGAGTGAGGGGAAACCGTTGCTTCTGCTGGGCTGAGCTTCAAGATTCCGGAGTTTACAAGATTTGGGCCAGCTCGACTGTTACCTGCCATGTGGCGCATGCCCGTGTGCCCTGCAAGGATCGGCTGCAGCCAATCAAACGCAGAATCCCGTAATAAGAATCCCGGTGCGAAACTTCCTGTTTACAGCATGCTTACATCAACCGGACGAGGTGCCCAGAGCCGTGTGGTGTTGTCGTGCCACACGAGAAACCTCGCCGTCGGTTCCAAGTCTACTGTTACCCTGTTACCCTCCGACATTGTCTTTTCCCATCTTGCCTTCGGGCATGGAGGCTTGCTAGCTGACCGTTTTTCGAAGCCCAGTTCGCGAAATGTAATCTTTCTGCCTTTCCTCGACACAACTCCCTCTTGAGGGTCTGTCTTGATTCCTTCCTCGGGATCAGGGTGGAGCCCTTTGGGCAAAAAACATTGCAAATGGACGAAACCCTGGTCCCTGGCCATGAGACATGTACGACACCTCCCCTCGCTTCATACAGTATTGCAGGTCCATCAGCCGCCTTATCGCGATGCAGTTGTGCACACCACCGAAAACGAACAAACCTCACCCTGCCGTCGTCCCTATACTTTCTGAACCTTAGGCCTTAGGCCGCCTAAACCAGGAAACATGCATCCGAAATGCGCTAAAGCTTCCCGTGAGCTTAGATTTAGTACAGCCTTCCCGTCTTTTGGCGGCAGTGTGAACAAGAGGCATTACTTGGGCGCATTTTGGTGGGTCCGATGGAACACCCAAATTAGTCCAAAAATTTCGCCGATTTTAGCGGTATCGTACGGGAGTCTCGCTTTCCTCAACCAGCTGGTGGCTTTGTGCGTTGAACACGTAGGCCGGCGGTGGGGGGTGGTGGTGCGGGTTTTGATGGTGGTCTTGTTCTTGAACTAATCATAGAGTGTCTCTGATGGTTGGTGTAGTTGATGATAGGTGAAGTATGTGCTAGTCTTCAATCCTGTTTGCACGTCGCCGAGATCAACAAGACCCTAACTATTCCCAAAGCCCCAGAACCAGGTGACACAGCGTCGCATCGAAGGCCACCGGCTGCCGACAGCAAACGCAGGGGGAGATCGTCTCCTCGGCTCTTTGCTGTGTCGGTTGTTTCGGATTCCTTCAAGGGCTCTACTGGTGATCAGGGTTTAGGGTTCGATTTAGGGGTTTAAGGCTTGGGAACTGCCAACCCTCAGCCCTGAGGACGAAATTCAAGGGTCCTAGATAAGAAGGACAGGGCCTTTCCGAGTAGTCTGCAATCCCTCCAAAGGGAGCTTAAGGCTTCAGGTGTAGAGGCTAACTGTATAGGGCATCTACAGACTCTGCAGGGGAAGTACCGTGACGGCATGATAGTGTTTTGAGGCAAGCAATAGTGCTACGATCAGAGCAATCATGGTACTATAGCATTATGTTCATGGCCAGTTCTCGGTGTGCTCGCTGTGGAACCAGGAGTTCGGGCCCCGCGGCAGATGATGTCGGAACCTTGGCCGGTGGGACGGATGTCCCTGTACACATAAGACTCAGGGCTCCGACAAGATAGTACTGGTCTGATAAGCAAAATGAGGCTTTCGGGTGTCAATTATACTCGGCTTTTTGGGGCAACTTATTTGAACTTCCTTATTATTCCCCTAGAACATGGAAGCCGTGAATGAAGGCAACTTGGCGTTCTGGGGCTTCTTGTTGAATTGATCAGCGTCTTGAACCAGGTTCATATTATTCTTCTAGCCTCTAGCATCTTGTAGCTTCGGCTACCTTACTGCCGATCCAGGTTATACATAGTCCCGAACCTTCAACTTCAACCCCAGACCTCAAGCCCACAAGCCTAGGTCCTAAGCCGTAAACTTATGGCCCAAACCCTAAACCTGCAATGCTGCTAATCCTAGTGGCGTGCCGCAACTCCGGCAATGTGGCGTCCGCAGTGCGCTCAAAGTCCTTTTGGGTTGGGTTTCCGCAGGATTCTCTGAGGGCTTGTTCGACGTCTGCTTAAGGGCCTGCAAAATGAGGGGTGTAACAAAGGTTCTGCAATGAAAGGCTTATAGACAATTGTTGTTTAAAGGTTCCCAAAGAACGTACCCATGCGTTCAGGATTGTACCAGGACATGCTCAAGTCTTGATACTATGACTTAGAGGTTATTCCAAGATATTGGATCTTGTGCTGCCAGGATTTGGTCCAGATTTTGTGTGACATCTCCAGGCCAGATTCCCCGAATTTAAACTGTGCGTCACTGTTGTCCCAGTGCCACTGTAGCTCATGACGGGGGGGGTGATGCTGGAGGAGCCTGCTGGAAGCCATGAGGGGAGTGGCTGACGACTACCAGAAAGGGATGAAGGAGAACACCTCGGTATTGTAGCATTGCATTGTGTTTCTGTGTATGTGTAGCTACATGTTGTATGCCCAACATGCGAATACCCGCTTGCAGGAATAACTCCTCGTCCAAGGTGTCAGCGCCAGTGCGTCTAGCGCGCTGAAGTCATCTGGCACACACGCGAAGGGTTCTAGGGTTCATTTGAAGGTCCCATTGGAGGCTCTACCCATATTTCCTTTTGGGGATTACCTTATAGAGTTCTAAAGATGAACCCCAAAAACGAACTACTATGGGGCCTATGGATATTCCGATAATCGAGGCATGAGGGTGTAGGATTTGGGGCAATGTAGTGTTTAGGCGTCTTGGGTGTCGTGTTTTTCACCGGAATTTATGGTTTACTGTACGACTTGGCCGAGACAAGGAAGGGTTCAAACTGCTCTTTGTGAAACATGTTTAATCCAGAGATCCCTTGCAAACCACACTTTTCAACATCACCTTCAACTGCGCAACGCCCAAGAACCTGAACCGGCCGTATACAAGCAGATGGGAGGGAGGGTCAGAAACATGAACCCGATGTTCAGGGAGATTTTTATGGCAAGGTATGTACTGGTCCACTGCATGGAGGCGAAACAACACAAAGAGCCACGCACGCTGCACCACAGCAAAGATGTAAAGAATCAAGATTGTACCCTCAGTAGGTTCTCCGGAGCCATGCACTCCTCACCGATGATATATCATGACGATGTACCAAGACATATACAACACCAGCAGTACGGGTGCACCGATGGAGCAGTGCAATGACTGAAGACCAGAAATCCTTGCTGAGCGGCCTCGGCATGATAAGAGGCAAGACTGTTCGAACAAACAAGAACTTAAATCTTCGCAGCCATGCGATCCTCTGGTGCCGTAGCTGCATAAGGCAGTTCCAGAATGTAAACCGCCTAGGCGCTATCAACCCCAAACCCCGAAAAACTCTAAACCTCGCAAGAACCCGTCAAATCTTATCAACTTCAAAGCGTCCATCGAAGCCCCAGACCCCTGAACAAACCCAAACCCCTCCCGGGCGGGCCATCGAGCTCCAGTGATGTGGGCTCACCTTCGCACGCTGCTGTATTGGGTGGGTTCACAGCCCTAGGACTTCAAGTCTGCCGTTCTTTCATGTGGGGGAATGACAACAGGGCTTAACCCTAAACCCTAAACCCCTAAACCCTAAACCCCTAAACCCCTAAACCCTAAACCCCTAAACCCTAAACCGAGTTTGGGGATCGAGGCTTCGGATGTAGGGTTTACAAGTGCCCTGGCTGGGTTCCAGGAGCTCTGACTAGGGTTTAGGGGCCTCCTCCCTGAAACTTCGGGTTGGGTACAAATCAGGCTCAACTACCCTGAAGGCCCTAAACACTACACGCGACCACTTGAATCGAAGGAAAAGCGGATCGAGCAGTAGCCTTCTTGATGGCCTGAAGTGCTTTTCGCCAACTTACTAGGCCCAGCGATCCATCGAGCCGAGTTGTGAAGCTTCAGAACAGCGAGTTGCTCAGCAAAGATTGCCAAAACCGATGCCGACAGTGTTGAGGCTGAATTTATAATAGCCTGAAGCCCAAAACCCCAAGCCCAAAACCCGAAAACCCGTCCTCCGTACCTGGGGGGGATACGGTCAGTTGCCTGGCTTTGACATCCAAATAAAGGTTGCGGATACTTTTTTTAAAGCTTTTAAGCAATGCGTTGTAGGCAAACCGAAACAAAGGATGTAAGGCAAACTGCAACAGGGAAGTCGGACAACCTTCCCGCGAATGAATGCGACGGCGAAGCCCTTGCAGAAGCCCTCTACAACCCTGTAGCCGCGCTCAACCTAAACTTTGAACGCAATAAGACCCGGCTCAACATCATTACTTTCGGACCCACAGCCTCCACCCCGACAGCCCACAATAACGCCTGGCCCTGAACCCACCAACCATAGCCCAAAAAACCCTACAGTAAAACCTTAAACCCTCAACATTCGTAATTATTGAGGCCCCTATATTACTCAGTATACCTTTGGCATGCCCAATCCTCCGGGCCTGCAGATCCGCACTGAGCACACCTCGGTCGTGTTGCAGTTCACAAAGTATAGGGCCTGAAGGTTTAAATGTAGGGGCTATAAGGAAATACTGCTATACATACTCAGACTCTATCTATCTATCTATATATATATATATATATTCAGACCCTATATCAGTGTTGACAAACACCGCCGTAGGTAGTGCTTGTCTTGTCTACTGGGAGCGGGAATGCGTCTTGGTTTAGAGACCATTGGGGCACTCCAGGTGTCATCATAAGCCCTATGTCTCAATTCCGACGGTTTAGAGCTTAGGGTAACCGGGTAATTAACCCCTCAAAATCTAAACCTGTGCCGATCAGACCCTCGAAAAATCTCTCGCACTGCGGCACTCCACACCCAAATCACTGAAGTTCTGAATCCTTCAGACTCTCAAACCCTCAAAGCTCACAACCATCAAACCCTATAACCCCAACCCGCCAACCCCCAACCCCGAAGCCCCCAACTCTTGTGCAGCCCTGACACAGCCATCGTAGGGGCTGAACAACAAAACCGAACATACTCTGCCCGTTGTTCTGTTTCTTCCCCTTTTTGTGCCCCCCCCAAACCCCATCAGCTCTGTCTGCTCCGTGCTTTCGCCAAAGCACTGGACACCCTTCCGCGTCTCCAAGCGGCCGCTCCGCCGCTCGCGCAGCGCGCGCTGGCGAACCTCCGCCTGTGGTGGCACGGGTTTTGTCATCGATGCGTCTTAAGTTGAGCTTAGGTTGAGCCTACAAAGCTACTTTTTATGTGCATGCACATAAAAAGTAGCAGCACAATGTCCAGGCTAAACTTGAAATCTTGTTTATAGCCGAGACCCCGAACCCCCTGAATCCCATGGCCTGGAGCTGCGTCACGCGCTCTAGCAACTCCTGGCTCGGGAGTGGCTTCTTGTTCTAAAGCTCAAAGTTCTTAGTTCCTCATTTCTGCGAAGCTACGGGGTAATCTGCTTTGTTGGTTTCGGGTATGTTCCTCGACCCTCCATCTATAGCCTCCATCAGACCCTAAACACCTTCTGTCCGGGTGGGAAGGGGGCCTAGGCCCCGATTCCAGGGTACCAGTACAGGGAAGTTCGTGGTCTGGTGCTTATAATTAGGTTCCATTTGGGAGTTTCCGAAAATAGGGGACCATAATATAGTACCCGAAATAGTAGGATCCTTATTATAAGGAGCCCCAAATAAGGTACCCCCAATTTTCGGAAACTCCCATTTTGGTGGCTTTGCTTAGGCTTTAGGCTTGCCTTCGGGTTAGGGGCCTTAAGGCCTTAGGGCTGCACCTTGGCAGGCTTTGGGTGTCATAGGTTACTGGGGAGTCGTGGGCTGCAGGGTTCGGGACGTCAAGGGTCGGGGGCTTAGGTTGGGGTCTTTTGATGCACTAGCCCCCTTCTCCTGCAGAAAACTCTGACCGAGCGTGCACATTGCAGCACCGCCACATCTACACAGCAACCCTAAACCCTAAACCCTAAACCCCTAAACCCTAAACCCTAAACCTTCAAAATTGCCTTCAACACGGAGACACAGGATCCCAGTACAGGAAGCCTTCCTTTCTTGGTTGCGTCAGTGTAAATCCTGAAGGCCACTCAGCCTGCTACTACTCCCAGAGACTCCAATATCCCTTAATTAAGGAATATACCTTAAATTATAGTAGGATCCCTTATATGATTTAAGGAATATTCCTTAATTAAGGGGTATTGGAGTCTCTGGGCTGGTGGCCTCAGAAAGGTCAACACTGATCTGTGCAGAACAAGGACAAAAATGTTTGGGTCTCTCACTCCGGGCACGGCTGCGACTACGTTCAGACCCGAAATTAGTTTAACAGTTATGTACTGTAGCCTACTGCAAAGAAACCCTCTCGCAGCCTCGTCCGAGCAAGCTTCGAAGTCAGCATCGAAGATCGACGAAGCGCCAATGTTGAATTTCGGCTCGCAGATGACCGCCATGGCAATCCTATGTCCCCAACCGCGCCTGGTCCCTTTCTGGGCACGTGAGGACTTGAGGCAGGGTGCTGTTTGGGGGGTTCGGGGTTTGGGGTTTAGGGACTGTTGTCGGTTACAAGTTGGAGCCCAAGCTTGTGCAAGAAGAGCCTCTTTCAAAAGACACCAAGGTCCTAGGACGTACTGGGAGTTATATGTGGATAACATCAGCAAGATTGGCAGAAAAGTCTCCTTCGGCGTACATCTTGTGGGCTGTGATAAGATACGGTTGAACTGACGGGGTGTTGCCAGACAAGCATTTCTCGCTGCATTCAAGTTGTTGTGCCTTGGGTGCGTGCAGCCCTGTTGCTGAGTTGCTGACTGCTTCAATTTCAGCCAGATGGCGACTTAAGAGCATCCACAGCGCAACAGAGATGAGGACCGACCGACAATGAAGACATGGAGTGGCACCTGACATACCGTACGTTGGACGAGTAAACTAAAACACAGCACAACATGAAAGTCCATGCCGACCTCACCTCCTTGTCTTCGTATCGCAGTTTAGCCGGCTGTGGCACATTGGGGGCAAGCTCTCCTTCACTGTTGTTGCTAACTGCAGCTTGAACGACATGAAATCATGACTAGATGCGCACCGCAGCAGCACGAGCATGCAGGTAGAGTCAAGATGTCTTGGCTGTCGCAGCTGCAATGATGGAAGAGCATGGCTCATTCAACCTCCATGTGCTGGATGTGAGCATGGAAAAGGATGACACGCATCAAGAGGAAACGCACGACCAGCTTCCACCACACTACTGGAAAAATCAGCAATAGTAATTATAGTAGCTGCAACGACCATGTTCATGGTGATGATGTTGAATGATGGTGGTGATCTGCGTTACCAACTCGCTGTGTCAGGTTGCATTTTGCTGCTGATTCCGATGACGATCGAGTGCTGCTGGTTGGACTCTTCCGATTGGCTTGGCACAGAACACTCCCGCATGCCTGAGTTCGCTGTCTCCTGCCCCCGCGTGAGCACGTCGGTGGCACTGCGGAAGAGACAGTTTCAGGAACGGGCAGAGGCTGGCTTAATACAGAGGTCTTGATCACATTCCGTTTTCTCCTTGTGTGCCTAAGCTATGGCGGAGCCTGAAACCCCATTCCCGCTATCAAGGCTTACGGAATGGTCCTCTTGAGCGTCAAGTCGGGTGCCGCATTGGCTAGAGTCGAGCCAGTTCTAGGGTTCGGGGAGTTCTCGCGTCAGGTCGACAAGCACTCCATGGCAAACGTTTCAGGGTTAGCGTTGAGGATCAAGGGTGTAGGGATTGCGGAGATGATAAGCCTTATAAGGGCCCTTATAACGATCATGAAAACTAACCCTTTTAGCAACTTGCCACCCTCGTAACCCTCGTCGTAATCTGCCTAAAACCCTCCTACGGCAGCAGAATGCCCAAAACTAAAGAGCTGCTTAATGAAACCATACCAGAAAGCCTGTAAGATCTCACCCCTCCCCAATACATGCCTGACTCTGCAGCTCCGACGCTAAGACCCTCAAAACCTACAGCCGAAGCCCATGAAGCAGAACCCCCCAGTGCCTTCGAATCACGTGCGTGATGTGCTTGAGGTCCTGGAACCCAGGAAATCCCACGGGTTTAGGGTTTAGGGTTTACGCTTTCTTGAAGGGACGTTTGTTCAAGACCCTGCAGAGCAAACTCTCCTAAAACCCCACAGAGCCCCAGAAGGCCTCTCAGAAAGTTATTTCTGTGTTGTACATTATACCCATAGGCTCCATAGTAGTTCCTTTTTGGGAATACCTTCCAGAATTCTAAATATGAACCGCAAAAAGGAACTACTATGGAGCCTATGGGTAAGGCCTAAACCCTAAACCCTAAACAACCAGGGGCTCAACTACGCAGGCCTGGCTCTTTGGAGGAGCCCTCCGGCCTTCGAGTGTCAGGGTGGCGACAGGGGGTTCCAGAAGGGCTGACGTGTTTCGGGATCATAGTTTAGGGTTTAGGGTTTAGATCATAATCCAGGCTCAGTTCTTCTGCAACCTCCCAACAAATCACAGGGCCTCCGGGGAAGGCCTGTCAAACCAGGTCTTCGATTGATACACAATATCTATATGTATGTATAAACACACACACATATACATATTACATATTTGTATATGGATATGTAATATATACACGGAACTAGGTTCAGGATCTCCCCATAGTCTACGGCATAGTCTTTAAGCCCAGGCTTCGGGGCTTCACCGAAACCCTGCGCCCTCCTCTTTGTCAGTGCCGAAGCCGCGTTCCGATTGCCGCAAGAGCAAATCGAGAATGTGGCCTCCACGGGCCTGGCTTTTGTAAGGGTTAGGCTTAGGGTTTGGGGTTTAGGGTTTAGGGTTTAGGGCTTAAGGTTTAGGGCTTAGGGTTTAAGGTTTAGGGTTTAGGGTTTAGGGAAGGGTTTACAAGCTTTCACAAAGGTTCTATATTTATGGGATTTGGGGTCTAGGGTTTTGGGCTTTGGGTTTTAAGGGTTCAATGAGGGTTTAAAGTTCATCTACGCGTTTTAACGACGGTTCTCTACTCGCTCTGTCACGCTTTGCTCTTTTTTGTGAGTTCTGTAGTTCGTGTAGGAGCTTCTTTTTTTGCAGACCCTTTTCCTTCAGCTGAGTTAGCGTCTGAAAATTCGACAACAGGAGAGCCTGCCTGGGCCCCGCAGCACTACTCACCACCACAACTCCTCAATAGACACGTTACCCAAATACTCAAGTCACCCCGTGTAAGAGCTTGAAGGACTAGGATTTGTGTCTTTGAGGGAGTGAGAAGGGTCTAAGGGTTCGGGCAGGTGTTGGGTAGGGCCTTGGGGGTTGATGATTTCCGGGGATAGAGGGAGTTTGCGGCTGTAATGTGTACATTTGCAATGCAGTGCCCTTGCACAGATGCAGCATCCGGCTATATTATGCTGTCACCCCGGAAAGCCCGTAAACCCTAATCCTCAATCCCAGAGGTAACCCACAAACCTACCTTCCTAGACCTTTAGCTTTCCAAGGGCACCTGAACCCGAACGCCTGAAAACCTCATGCTATATGAACCTGGATGGCTACAACTGCCTCTAGAACAGTTATTGAGAAGCCACTACAGGGTTACCATAGGGGTCACAAGAAGGGTTCCATAAAGCTACTACAATGGTTCCTACACGAGTTAGTATAAAGGTTCCTAGTAACAGTTCTGAATGGCTACAGCAAGGTGACTATGACAATGGTTCCTAGTAAAGGTTCTGAAAAAAGGATGTGACTATAACCCATAAAAACTCACAAGAAGCAAGCTCCGAGCCTTGAAGATGGAACGGTCAGCGGCAGTATCCTTCAGCTGAGCACTACCCATCGTTTTGTTCTTTTTGCGGTTTGGAGGGTTCCAGCAGCTTCGGGATTTAGAGTTTACAGGGCCTGCGAATTGGAGGCTTCGAATTCGCGGTTGGGTTGGAGTTTAGCACTAAAGACTTCAGGGTCTGCGGAGATGCGGGGTTTCACATTGAGGCTTGCGGCACATAGAAGCTACTATCTGTGTATGGGGCTGGGATTTCGGCGGCATGCTGTGACCGTTTGGAAACGTCCTACTATTTGTCTGCAGACAGCCCACGAAAATCATGGTAGTGTTTGAGAGTTTTCTATGGTGCAGTCATAAAAAGAGAAAGGTTTGGGCTTGGGTATAGTAGGTAAGTAGTGTCAACTGAGACCCGAAAAACACATAGGTAGTTCTCTAAATTACGTCCATTCTAAGGTCCTGAGCCATAAGATTTGGTGACCAAACAGAGAACTACCCATATAGAAGTGCCCAGGAAGTACTCACGATGCCGACGGCCTTGTGTGTGGGTCCTGTAACCTGAGTTGCTCACATAACCATGACGAATCCAGGATGTGGGGAAGTTTGGCTTCGAACTTTGTTGGTTTAGTGTTGTGTGCTGGTATGCTGTGGCAGCGATGTTTACGGAAGCAAACTATGCACCGAACAGGAGCCTTTGAATATTCGACCGGCCTAGAACATCCTAGAACGATACAGCCTCAACTCAACCTTCGCAGCCCTGATACCCCAAGCAGTCAGCAACATAATTCTTGTAACCTACCGTAAACCACAAGCGGACCCTTTGCTACCAATACAGCCTGAAACTGAAACGCAGGAAACCCTAAAGCCGGTAGAGCACACAGTATGGAGGAGCACCCTTGCAGGCATACCAGGTTTGCAGGGGCATAAATCGTAACCTTATGGAGCCCGCATACTATCCCCATATAGGTATAGTAACCTGATTTATAGCTGTGGTTGCCTTATGGTAGTCGTATAGCATGCTTGCTATAAAACCACATCGCAACCGTTTCGGACCAGTCGTCCTTTTCGAGCTTCTCGGCAGAGATGGAGTCCTCGAGGCCAAAGAGGTGCTTCTTGAAGAGGTTCAGATGCTTCCTGAGCGTTTTTGGCATTTTAGCGGTTAGAGTTTAGGGTTCAGGGTGTTTAGCCTTGTCAGAGGACAAAGAGGACGAAGTAGCTCAGATGCTTCATAAGGGTTTGCTGCTGGTGTTGTTTACTAGCTAGGGTTTCGGGTGTAGCTTTCGATGGTTGTCGTTTGCCTGTTTGTTAGGGTTCAAGGTTGAGGGTTGAGGTTCAGATGCTTTGTGGACTCAAGTTTTCGCGGGCAGGGGGCAAGGTTCCCTTACGTGAGAAACGATGCTCAAGCGACCCCCCCTAGGTTGAATTTTGGGGTGTTCGGGCTAGGGTGTCCAGGATTTTTCGGGCTTCGGGTTAGGGTGTAGAGTGCTCGAGTAGATTATGTTGAAATGCTTCCTGTGTGCTTGGGATCTAGGATATGACGGTTTCTGTGTGTTAATTATGAGGTCGGAGCCTATCTTTCCTGGTGAAGAAATGATGTGTTAAGGCGCAAGGCCTTTACGGCTTTGAGACACCTTTCAGGTATATATTGCGACAGGGTCCGAGGGCGACGCGGCTAAATAGATTTGGAGACGTTGGGAAGTGCTGTCTGGTTCA